GACCCCTTAACTGAATTACTAGTTGTTTTGTGTGAAATGGAGTTAAATTAGATAAGGTCATACGGGTAGAGACCCCTTAACTGAATTACTAGTTGTTTTATGTGAAGTGGAAGAGAGACCAGATGATACATACATGTGTCTTCTCTCCCATGTAATGACACCATTGTCTTGTGACCCTGCCAGATGATGGCCTAGACCTTAGACCAGAAGGATGAATCAAAATAAACTCTTTTCTTTACAAGGTACTTTGCTTCTGTAACAACAATGTTCTAATAAAAGGCTGCTCAGTAACCTGTAACAATCTTTCTGCTTAAGTAAAACTATATTCCTATTCAATGCAACCTAGTATCTATATTGGCTGAGACAAGGTTATCACTATCAGACAGCAAATGTCTTCTGAGTACAGCAGGACTGAATTGTGAAACCTACAACCAGCTTCCCTTTTTAAATGACTTATTCTCAAAGCCTATAAAATAATTAATTGGATAATAAGCATGACTGGACCACTATTGCTTTTATTTACTTGTTTATTTATTTACTTGTTTATTCCTTCATTTTTTTTGTGTGTGTGTGCACATGAGTGTGTGCACACTCACATAGTACTCCATTTCATGTGTGGAAGTCAGTAGACAACTTGTAAGAGTTGGTTTTCTGCCTCCACCCTGTTGGTTCTGGGAATGGAACTCAAGTTGTCGGGTATGGTGGTAAGAACATATACTCAACTGAACCTTCTCAGCTCTCCCTGACCACTATTCACTTATTCAGACATTAGGCTATGTGCTTATCAGTACCAAATGTTTTCTTTTTCTTTTTCTATTTGGCCAAACTGTTAAAAGACAATCCTTAATCACAGCAGTCTTTTTACAGCAGGTGGTGCCCACCTCTGCCTCCAAAACTCCAGCCCAAACAATCTGCTTAGGACTGCTGAGGAAGCAGAAGAATGTGCTTGTGACTCAGCCTGCTAAGTAGGAGGACTGTCATTGTTATTTTAACTCCTGCCAGAGGATGTGGGCAACTCTCCTTTTCCCTGTCCCCAGATAACTAAGTAGAGATCCCTCTTTCAAACCTCACCCAGTCTTAGCACTTGGTCAATAAGAGCCGGAAGACCTGGGTACCAGGTGTGATTAGCAGCTCACAGCAGAGTACAAAAGGTTTCTGTAAAAGCATGATCAGACATCCTAAAGTCATCAATCAAATTTATTTTTAGAATGCATAATCTACCTTGAAAATAGTCGCCATAGAATCATGAACAATCTTTGTGAGGTAGTGATCAGTGCAGGCCAAGGTACTTATTTTTAGAGAAGATGGCAGAAATACCAGGTTTTCATTCTCTTTTTGTTCGCTCTTGGCGCACTGTGGCCCTACTGTTTGTCTTTCTGTTGCCAAGTGTTCCCAACAATATAAATAGTCATCAAGTGCAGCTCCTACTTATAAAACTAAAAACATCTTCTTACACAAAACAATTCTTTAAAGATAAGCTCTTTTCAGCTATGAATGAAGAAAAAAATATAAATATTCTGAAGGAAGGTACAACCTAAGTCATGTTGAATTGTAGCAGGTTACAATATTTAGGTAAAAGACTTCAAGAACAATACATATTTTTTATTCTTCAAATATCTTCCTCATGCCCATCTAGCTAGCTTCTTCCTAACTTCTATGTAGTTTGGGACTTTTGTATTATAAATTAAGATTAGAGATGATAAAATCAGCAACCAAGTTTTTCACAATATTATAAAACCATAAAAATTATGACTTGAAACCAGGAAAGTGTTTGAGCATTGAAAAAGCAATGGGTTCTGCTAAGACACATAAAGGAATGCTTTAAGAGCTACCAATCATCGGTGATGTGCTTTGTGGGTAATCTATGGGCAAAGCATCTACCTCTCATGTTTCCCAGGAACCCCTGTATATCCAGTCATCCCTTCAACAAGTGAGAACTCACCAGGGAGGTGCTGGCCTTGATAATAGTGACACAGCTCAGAACATGATATAGTTTCTGCCATCAGAGGGAGGAGACAATGTTGAGGTAATGTGGGCTGCAGAGGATGGCAATCCTGTACCATCTTGTTGGCTACGATAAGAGTGTGGGATTCATTCTATACAAGTGAGCATTCATGTATTTGGAGTCATACCAATTAAGGATTTTTGTACTGAGTTCTTTTATGCAGACAACAGATTATGGGAGTGCGAGACTGATGACTTTTAAATATACAGGTAGAGATGATGAGACTTGATAATAGTTTGGACAGTTGCAAGTACTGTGATGCTCTCCCATGGGGCTTAAAGAGGTCAAGTCATATGAGTCTAACAGGTGGTGGAAGCTAGAGGCAAACTGATTTTCACAGCAATTAACAGTGCGCTGTAATATCCAGTGAGCTTTTTGTGAAAAGAGATGCTGATGTCATAGGCATCAGTAAGATAAACTTCAGGGACAAAGATTTACATTTGGGATTGCATGTGTTAGGTTGGAAATATTCAATTTCAAATTTTATACAATATGGTAATTAGTAACATTAGTAAATATTTTAAAGGATGCTCTTTACCAAACAATTTCACTGTGATTATCCCTTCTGTATAATCAACTTGATGAAGTTAGTGGTATCAGAGGTGATCACATGGTATTAAAGAACATATCCAAATAGAAATACCTGCATAAAATTGTACAGAAACACTGCATGAATCTTCATGTTTTCATAGATACTATTTTATCAGGTTAGATAAATATTGTCTCTTCTTTTTTGTTTGTTTGTTTTTGTTTTTGTTTTTTTGAGACAGGGTTTCTCTGTATAGTTTTGGTGCCTGTCCTGGAGCTCGCTCTGTAGACCAGGCTGGCCTTGAACTCACAGAGATCCTCCTGGTTCTGTCTCCTGAGTGCTGGGATTAAAGGCGTGTGCCACCCCCATCCAGTTCTTCTTGATATTTTAACATTAGCCCCCAATATACACAAAACATCCTAATAAATGCTGGTAGGATAAATTAAACTTCCATGTACATGCTAGCAAATTCTAGAATTAACTGTAGTGTGAGACAATAATTTGAAAAGGGGCTTTATTAAAACTCCTCCCGTAATTTTTAAGGGAATGTAAACAATTAATATGGACCCCCCCCAAAATGTATTTTTCCTTTAAGTATCTTAAATTTCATATGTAGTATTTATACTAGGTTTGGGACTAGTTAGAATTTCATCTATGGTGAAATAAAACCTAGGTGGATTATTATATTATGGCAGCACAGTGAAAGCAGTGGGTCCCAGGAGATGAGCAAAATCCTTACATGCCAATTAAAGATGTGTTTCCAGCTGGGAAAAAATGAAACATAAAAAGACTTGGCATGGTATCATATTCAGAGAATGTCAGCTCTCTTGGACACAAATTCCAAATAGGTTTTATAAGACATGCGGACGCCATGGTAGCATTGAATCTTTAAAGTGCTGTGAGAGATTTAGATGCAATAATAAGCACCAGAGATTAATATGTAAGGCAGTAACCATGGTAACAGCTGGGATGAGCCAAACCAATCTTGTCTGCCAACGTGGATGCATCTAAATACAACAGGGAGTGAAAGTGACCTATGAAGAAACACCTGCAGGGTGACACCAGCTCTGTACATTTGGAAGATATAACTGTGCTGCGTCTGTTTGCCACATAGCAGAACACACAAAGGACACTATGTACCTTTAGAATTCTGATACTCACTGAAACGAAAGCAGGAGCATGAGAAGAAAGCAAAATGTCTTTTCCTCCCATGGTGGTCTATTCAGAAAAGGGCTTAAGATAGCCATAAGCGAGGTTGTTTGATCTATATGGCAGATGCTTAGGTATTTACAATCATGTTGAGTCTTTTTGCAATGAAAACATGATACAGTTTTTTTTTCACTCAAAAATAATTTATGAGAGCCATAAAATAAACACTGCCATGGCCAATTATCAATAGTATATTCAACACCTTTAATAAAAAACAAGTTAAAATTAAACTGCATTTGCTGGAATGAGAGGTCACTCCTTGGCAATCTCTGAATAGTTTTATTCTGCCTTTATTATGAAGTTTCTAGTTACAAGGTGCCAAGTAAAAGAAAACATAGTTTCTATTTGCAAACTGAGCTAAAGTGCTCATTTATTCATTCGTGTGATTGTTGGATATGGGACAGGTGCACATATACAGTAAGAGTGTGCCTGCTGTGCATTGACTGCATTTTCAGTAAATGTTACTTGTTTTATTATATAAATCCAGATGGGATTTATGCAAACATAGGAGAATCTAATTCTTGGGCATTTCTTCCTCGAGCAGCTATCCCTATGTTACCACTGTGGCTGGGGTTCTTTCTCCCATATGCACAGCTTTAGGGTTCCATTTCCCATGTGCACGCTTTGGGTGAGCTCTGTCTCAGGCCCCTAATCTGTAAAGTGGACATCATCTATTAGCTACCTCACCAAGCCAATGGAAGGAAATAAGTGCATTACTTTACATAAAGGCACATGCAAACAAGCCTAGCACATGCTAAGTGCAGAGGAAATACTACTGTGATGGGTAGCCACAGCAGGAGACAGGGGCTCAGTTCAACACTCATTTCAAACCAAGATCTTTTCATTTAGCCAGTCTAAAACCTATGAAGTGACCTTTTAACATAATATTTTTATTGATTATTTGGAAATTTCACATAATGTACCCCAATCTCTCCCAGTTCTCCCAGGTCCATTTCCCACCCTCGTGTCTTCACTGGAGCATGGCCAGACTCCCAGTGGCCAGCCCCTGAAAGAAGACTGAGTGCTTCCCAACCTCCACCCTGCCAGAAGCCATCAGCTGTGAAGAGCTACATGTGAGGTGATATTTTATAATTCCAAGTCTATTAGTTGTAAAATTCAAAAGGCTATTTCCTTAAAAAATAAACTGGCATTCAATTAAAAATTTAAAAAAACAAAACTATGGTTAGCAAAGAAGTGAAGTGTTTTTCATGATAGTGGGTGGGTCACTCTTTCATGGTAGAGAGGACACAATCTTACCTCTTCAAGGAAGTTGTGAAGTAGTGATATTTGTTGTGTTCTCAAAGGACTGCTATTATGTTCTGGCTTCTTTCTGTCAGAAAAATAAGAAGAATGCAGAGAAAATGTATTAAATAATTTCTGACCCACACACGACAACCATGTCAACGTGAAACAACTCAAAGCTCTCTCTTTTGAATTTGGGTAACTGTGAGACTGCAGAATGGATTTCCTAACGTCTACTCCTCCTTTTCTTAGCATTGGTGACCTGCTGGGCACCAGCTCAGCCACTTGACACAGAGCAGTGAGTATGTAAACTACTGAATGCTTCCCCTACCTTTTTACATCTTAAGGCTTCTTAAGAGTAACATCCAAGGACAAGTAGAATTTTAAATTGTTCTCAGCTAATAAATAGCAGAAAATTATATAATCTCCCCAAATAATATAGTCATAATTGTTAATTATATCCAGCAAGCTTTAAAAAAGACTGGGCCTCTAGCCCAGTCTGCATTGATTTTATGAAGCACAGGATGGAGAATTTTTTTTTTAACAATTAATTAAATATTCTCCATAGAGTACTAAATTTGCTTTGACATTCCAAAACCTGAAAGTCACTCTGGATTAGCAATTCTGCTGAAAAACGCCACTGAGCATCATATGGAATACTCCCCATTGAAGTGGTTCCTGGAAATAAACAGTTACTGGAAGGCACCAGGCTTGTTTTCTGTCTTACAAGCTGTCCAGGTGCAGCTACCCTCATCTGTGGCAAGACTGCAAAAACCTACAGTGTGTAAATCCCCGGTCAAATCCAGCTTTTACACACTGGGTTTCTAAACCCATGTGTTTATGCATTTCTCCCAGAACTGATGTATGTTCATCCTAATAGATATACCCTATCCCATTATCAAGGACGATGATATGTTATTGTTAAAAAAAATTTGGGACCTTAATGGTTGGCCTCTACATGTCTTTAGAATCCAGAAGTAAATTCAAACAGAAAATATGGATGAACTGGTTCTTCTTTTGTCTATTCTGGAATTTTTTGTTTAAAATATGATGCTAGAGATCAGAGATAAGCCTTGGGCATGTTAGACAAATGTTCTACCTGTGACATATGTACTCAGCCATTTTCTGGATCTTTAAGCAATAAATTCACATAAATAGAGGAGGAAATAAGACTTTGATTCAAGGCAACAAATACTGATTGCATTTGTTGCTTCTTTTATATTTGCTCATTTGATCTGTGAGCACTCACAATGAGTAACAGCAAGTATTATGGATACTTAACATCTAAATAACCATAATGAAAGTTTCACAGCCAAAAAGACACATGGCAGAATTTCCCATTCCTTGTAATAATTTAGTAATTATTTTAGCAAGAATGATTGCTGAAATCTTGCATGTAGTTTTTTATTCCTTTCGAGAAATATCCAGATTGACTAAGGGGACAAAAAGCTGTGTGCAAAGATTTTAGCAAACATTCTTGCACATCTATCTATCTATCTATCTATCTATCTATCTATCTATCTATCTATCTATCTATCTATCTATCTGTCATCTATTTATCATCTATCTATCTATCTATCTATCTGTCATCTATTTATCATCTATCTATCTATCTATCTATCTATCTATCTGTCTATCTGTCATCTATCTATCTATCTATCTATCTATCTATCTATCTATCATCTATCTATCTATCTATCTATCTATCTATCCATCTTTCATCTACCATCCATCTACGACAGACTCTCTGGAAGGAGAAATTCATGCAGAGTAGTATGTATAATAACTTAAAATCACTTAAAAATTGAATTATAAGCAAATGAAAATTTGTAATTGGTTTAAGTTCTGTTTGTTTTCTGGTTTTGTTTTAGTTTGTTTTTCGTTTTTAAATAGGCCCCCTCTATATAGCCCTGGCTGCCTGGCTTTCTTAGAATTCACTATGCAGGGGCTGACCTCAAATCAGATGTGCCTACTTCTGCCTCCAGAGTGCTGGGATTAGAGGAGTACAGCACAATTCCCAGCTTCTAGATTGGTTTTAGAACAACAACAACAACAACAAAAAGGTAGCACAAAGCTCAGGACACTGTTCAGATAAAAGGGCCTTCTAGTCTTTACCATATGAGTGCTAAACAAAATATCATACCTTTTATCTTCAAATTCAAGATTTTTTAATGTCTGAAAGTGCTATTTTTTGTATATTGCCCTTATTTTCTAATAAGAACACATACATGTGTGTAAATGTTAAAGTACATATTATGAGTGTGTGTGTGTGTGTGTGTGTGTGTGTGTGTGTGTGTGTGTGCCTGCCTTTTACTCTTGTAACAAGGAGACAAAAAGAAATCTCTAGAGCAAAGTGCAGCATATTACAGTTCAGGGGACAGCTGCATCCTACTGCTGTCTCTTGGCCCAAGGGCAGTGTTGCTGGTACCTAGCCATTCCCATTCATTTCCAGGTGGACAAGGGCTGCTTTCATGCTGCGATGCCAGAACTAAGCAGGTTCCAGGGACACCAGCTCACATTGTTTACCATTCGGGCACCTGCGTTGTTGCAACAGCAAACAGAAAACAGCACATTCACAGTATCAGCAACATTAGCACTGGCAAAGGCTATCCTCCTAGTCCTTCCAAAACTGAACTCAGCAGTTACACATGAAAATAAAATTTCACTTCTAAACATATAAAGGGACAACTTTATCCCAAAAGAAATGGGTAATTATTGGCCAAAGGGTGAAGGGATTATTGGGAAACTCAGTGCCCCCAGTCATGATTTAATACTCTGTATCTGTAATTTTCACTTGTGTTGGCGTTTTATTATACAAAAGAAAATGACTGCCTTTTTGTTATAGACTTCATTTCCTGTGAAATATGTAAATGCCACTGGGACTTACTTTTAAAAAGCAACTTATGAACTATTCCATAAGGGACATCAAATTGAATGGCCAATTTTCAGTTAGTCTCCTACAGGTACAACCTTCAGCTTTTATACCACAGCCAAAGGATAAAATTAACACAACTTTTGTCATGGATATTTGTCAGTTTTAACATCAGATATGTTCCATAGGGCGGAATGTAAACCAATACTGGCAGACACTTATCAACTCTCATTTGCCAGTGTTTGGAGGGCTTCATACATATGAATTAATTCATTCTTCACCATCTCCTTTTGGCTATTATATCCCCAATTTATAGATGGGCAAACAGGCCAAGATAGCTGACATGTCCATTCCAGGAATGCACTTAGAAGGTGGCTAAGCCTTCACGGCAAACCAGGTCTTAACAGGCACAGGGGAGTGGCTTTAGGTCTCCATCTCCAGCTTGTGGTTCTTCAAAGAAGTGCAATTCCACCCATGGCAGCTCTCGGACTAGAAATACTGAGAGCATCGACTGTTCGGGATATTCAGCTTCTTGGACAGACTGAAATCGACTCTGCTGCAGCCCTGCCTCCTTTTTGCAGCATTGTTTCTGCTGGATTTGCTTCTGTTACTTTCCATGTCACAGACATGAGAGCACACATGTCTGGGGGGTTCATATGCGTACACATGAGTCTGCCCATGTGTACGCAAGAGCATGGTGGCTAGTGGTCCACATGTCTTTCCGCATTACTCTGGAGTGTGTTGTTTTTTGAAACAGGGTCTCCCACTAAATCTGGTGCTCACTGACTGAGCAAGACTTGTTGACAGAAAAGCTCCAAGGATCCTCTTATATCCACACTGATACACCTGGTGGTGTAGTTTGGATGATAAATGCCCCTATACGAATTTGAACACTTAGTTCCTAGCCAATAGTACTGTTTGTGGAGGTTATGGAAATTTTAGAAAGCCTTGCTGGAGGAAGGGCCCTGGGGTAGGCAATGAGCGTTTATAGACTAATCCCTCTTCTCTTTCTCTCTTTCTCCTCCTCCTCCTCCTCCTCCTCCTCCTCCTCGTTCTTCTTGCTCCATATATATATATATATATATATATATATATATATATATATATTTGCTTCCTGTGTGTAGATGAAAATGTTGTGATCATTCAGCTTCAGGCCACTGATACTATGCCTTCTTTACTTGTTGTTATACTTTCCTTGCCATAATGGATTTAGTTTTTCCATCAGAAAAAATATAAATCCCTTTCTTCATTACATTGCCTCTTTTATCCCATCAAAAGAAGAGTGACTCATATGGTCATCTTCTTACATGGTGCTTGGGATTGAACTCAGCTCCACAAGCTTTTGGGATAAACACTGACCCAGCTCAGCCATGCCTTCAGGCTTATTAATGTTTGAATGTATGTCATGTAGAACATTGAAATCAGAATGAGTAATTAGATTACTGTGAAACAGTAATGCCAAGGTGAGATTTTCCTCAAAAAAAGCAAAACAGAGATGGTTGAAGTTGCTGGAGAATGAAGTGTGGGTGCTGAAAACTTGCTGTAATTACAATTACTAGCATTAGACTATTCTGTCAGCTCCAAATGAACAATAGCACTGTTTCCCATCCATTTATCAATCTTCTTTCTTATGTGGTTCTCAACAGTTCATGAAACTCAGTGTACTTGTCAAAAACCTAAAGATTTTAGCTACTGAGGACTGGACTGCTGATCTACTAGGGGAAAACTCTAGTATATTGAGTAGTTATTAAACAGACAAGCAGCTGTCAATGTTGTCATGCAGTTTAACAAGCTACTAAACCATTATACTCCCTAATATGTTTAGAATCACTTATTATCTACATATTTGTAAATACAAGAAAGTATGCTGAACAAAGTCATCGATGGTTGAGAACATCTTTCTTGGGATTACTGTGAAAGTTGTTTTTCAAACATTATGTTTATTTCAAATGGAATATATGTCAAATATACACTTGGAAGAAATAAGAACTATTAACAAAATCCTTATTCACGAAACATCTGGTCTGTATCCAAGCAGAGAATCAGGACACAGTGGCTAATAAGCACTGTGCCATTTTATCCTCAAACCTGACACTGGAGGCTACAGCTAAAGCTGTGTTAAGCTGCCTTAGGAGAGGTGATTTACATTTATCCAAAGTATCTCGACATAATATTGTACAAGGTAAAGTATCAAGGATTGGATTAGTGGGGAAAGC